AGTTAAAACAAGATGGTTTTTATGCTCCCTTCCAAACCATTGTAGGGTTCTGGGCTGTTCAGTGAACAGGAGCCCCGTGTTCTTCAGGTGAAGGGGGAGAAACCCAGCACACACCAGACAACGTGACCGTACAACACTGGGACTGGAACAGCCTTTATCCTGCATGGAACTGGCAGGGAAGGATCACATCCTCCAACAGCCAGACCTGGGAGGGCACTGAAGAGCAGGGAGAGGAGGGTTGAGCCTCCCCCTGAATCCCTGAACCGGTGCCTGGATTTTCTGTGGTGGGAGCACCTGCAGCAGGAGCTGTGGGCAGTGCTGGCCTGGCCAGGCAGGCACAGCCAGGCTCTCCTGGGTCTGTGCTGGCCATGAACCACACCATGGACACGTATCTGTGCTGGGGCTGCTTACAGGGAACATCTGACCCCACTGTCCCCAGGGCTCTGAGCCCTCAGGACACCTGAGAAGCACCATGAAACCGCTGTGCTCATCCAGAGCTTCCAGGTGGGGGAACAAAGAGCTGTGTCCAGGAGAACCTGAGGAGTTCTGTGCTGCAGATGGAGCTCTGTCAGGTGCTGACATCACAGAGGTTCCCCTGGAGACCACGTCAGGCTGTGTCTCCTTCCCCCCTCCACCACCACCAGAGGTAACATCACCATGGCAGCCTCCAGGGGGAACAACATCTTCCCCAGAAACCCCTATTACATCCCTGGGTAAGTGCTGAAGATCATCCAAAAGGTCCATTTCTGATGAAAATAGCTCTGGTTGGGATCATGTAGTATTTATGACTCATAATGTTTTGGGCTTTTTTTTCAAAGACACTATTAAATATTCCATGTAACAGTGCTCTGAAGGAGTCAGAGCTCAGAAGAAGCAGCACCTTCCAGCAGGGTAGAACTGCAGACCATGGCAAAGCACACTGAGGGCAAAGCCAAAATTTTTCTTTTCCCCTCCTTCTTTTTTTTTCTGTTTCTTTTAAGCTGCCAGATGTTACCAGAGCTACTGTGCAGGGTTTGGCTTCTGAACTGTCATAATTTTTGCACCAAGGATTTTTGAAAGTCTCCTTTGAGTAAATAGTTACACAGACATGACACTCTCTGGTCAATGGGCTGGACCATAGTCCTGCTGCTGGGTCTGGAATGAGTCAGGGACTGGGGATGCTGGTGGTCTGGTCCACAGGTAGTAGGATTTCTTTCCAAAGGTGTTTGTGACATTCTCCTCTAAAGGCTTGGAGAGAAGAAACCAAGCTGCCACGGGTAAGAGGGAATGAGTTACAGGGGAGGAGGTAGGACAGGAGTGGCAGGAATAAGGGATTGGCTTCACTGGGAACAGAGAAGTTGTGTTTGGGTCCTGTGGTCTGTGAGACTTGTGAATGGGTTGGGAAGGGCTGGATGGCCCCTGAGGAAAACCAGCTGCTGTTGGCAAAAAATCACTCAGATTAGCCCAGCCTGAGGTGAGCTGGTGCCTGACCAGGCTGCGAGTCCTGGCACAGGGAATGCCAGCCCTGGCACAGGGAATGCCAGCCCTGTCCCCTGGTTGCAGGGCAGGTATGGGCAGGAGGCAGATCCTGAGCCACTGACAGAGGGTGGAGCACATTCCCTAAACTCTGCTCCTGCAGTGCTGATCCAATCAGTCCTTCCCATCACAGTGACATGCAGGATTTTTCCATTACTGATCTCTGTACCTTCCACGCTTACATAAGCTCTGGGGTTGGGGTTTTTTGGCATATTTTTGCATTGCTGTGGCCATCTGATGTGATTTTCTGTGTGTGCTGTCAAAGCCCTGTGCTGGCAGGGAAAGAGGAGGAGCAGCAAGGAGGGGGCTGTGGCTGGGCTTGCACCCCCAAAAGCCTCAAACCCTTCCCTTGCCTGCAGCAGCTGCCCCGGGAGCAGCTCCAAGCCCAGCACAGACACAGCAGCTGGGGCTGCTCCTCTCCAGGGCTGACCCAGCCTCTGCAGGCAGGAGGAGCAGCCAAACTCTGCTGCTGCATTTCTTGGTGCTGTGCAGGCTCGTGGCATCCCCCTGAGCCCCTGTGGGTGCTGAGGGTGCTGCTTTGCATCTGCTTTGGGTGGCTGAGGGCAAGGAGGAGCTGCCTGGAGGGCACTGCCAGAGCCCAGCAGACAGTGCTCCCTGAACTGAGGTGTGTCACAGATGTCACCAGTTGTGCCATGTGCTGGTGAACCCACGAACACAACAAGGGGATCAGAGCAGGTTGTTGTCCCTTGGGCCAAGGGCCGGGTCCTGCACTGTGGCCACAACAACC